CTGGTCCTTATATGTAGATTTTTTTTTAATCTCTCTGGCAACCCAGGGATGCTCTACCACTACACTAACCCTAGCCATTTTTAAAGTTTTTGAGACAGGGTCTTGCTAAGTTGCCCAGGCTGACCTCAAACTTTCAGGGTGGGTGACCACCTCAGCCTCCTGAATAGTTTGGATTTCAGGAGTGCACCACCATGTCTGGCTTGTTCTGTACATTTTGTTTAAAAATGAAACTGGTGTGTGAAGGTGACCTGAAATTGTACTTTCTTCTAATGGTTATTGAAATCAAGATAACATGACTTTGATCTAAGGGGAAAATCTGGCAACTTCTTCCAGATCAGCTGGGATCATAACATCTATGGGAGAAGGAAGCTGAGCAAGAGAGACAAAAGTCCTCAATTTCTGCCTTCACCGATATCTAGAATTCACTGGAAAAGTGAATCTTACAGAGAATTCAGCATGTCCTCATTTTGCCCCCAGGCCTGAACCCACCCTTGTGGTAGGTGACCATCAGCCTTCAGATTTCCATCCTCTGAGGATACTCAGAATTCACAATCTCATGGTAAAATGCTTCTCTCCCCAACAGTATCTTCCCCAACTCTACCAAGATGCATCTCACCTCCCCCCTATCTGTCTGCCTGTCCTCCTTAATTATCTTTTCCATCTGTTCAAATCCAACTCATTCTCTAGGGCTCAGCTTAAATCCTCTGTGAGAGAGAGGATTAATTTAATAGTATCATATGTCTACACTGGAAGCCAGGTCCTGTGCAGAACTTTAGGGAATCAGAGATACACCACAAATAGGGACAGAATCTGGCAGTTTATAGACCTGCAGCTTGGCCTAATAAGGGAGACAGGTATTAAAAGAATAAAAGAGGAAAAAAAAAAATAACAGGACAGCGTGGTAAGTACAATGATGGGATTGTTTGTAAACTCCAGGTGGCTAGAAGTGGGAGTTGTTGTTGTGTGTGGGGGACCCGAAGGTTTTCTGACTGACGTCTAAGCCAAGGTGTGAAAGGGCCTTCTCCAAGCACGCTTGGTGGTGCAAGCCTGTAATCCCAGTAGCTTGGGAGGCTGAGGCAGGAGGATCAGGAGTTCAAAGCCAGCCTCAATAACTTAGCGAGGACCTAAGCAATTTAGCAAGACCCTGTCTCTAAATAAAATATCAAATGGCTGGGGATATGGCTCAGTGGTTAAGCGCCCCTGGGTTCAAGAAAAACAACAACAAAAAAATAAGGGCCTTCTTCAGAAACAAGTTCTGCTTTCAGTTCCCATAGCATTTAAGCTTGGACCCGCCATGGACACCACCTTCACTGATCTGTGCAGTCTGTGTCCTTCGCTTGCGAGTCTGTTACACCCCTAATGTCCAGCTAAAACAAGGGGGAGTGCCTCAGCAAGGACCTGGTACCTCACAGGGCCCAACACTTGTTAAATCAATAGAATAAGTGAAACGCAGAGGCAGGTTTTTCTCCCATAAAACTTTTATGCAGGCCTTCCCTGGGCTAGCCAGAGGGATATACTCCTTCCTGCAGCTTCAGGAAGAATTGGCAAGGCAGAGGAATGTACCCCACTTCATGTCCTTTGCTTTCATGCTTGCTGCTCCTCAGTGCCCACTGCTGCCTCTAAATGTGACCTATCACTAAGGCCTCTTTTAGAAACTGCAGGCTCCAGAATCTTTCCCTCGACACCCTTATATTAAACAATGGTATTGACTAGAGGTGGAGGAAAGGGGGTGATGCACATGTAAACTGTGGAAACGGGGTGTAAACCTGGGTCCTGCATGGACTGGGTGTTCTACTTTCTCTCAGGCAATAGTGGTTCCTGGGTGGTGCGACTAGAAGAACAGAAACTGCCACAGAATGTCTCATAAAAAACAAAACAACAAACTGGATGTGGTGGCACCCATTTGTAATTCCATCAACCCTGGAGGCTGAGGCAGGAGGATGGCAAGTTTGAGGCCAGTCAACTTAGCAAGACCTGTCTCAAAAATAAAAAAATAAAAATATGAAAGAACTAGGGACATGGCTCATCAGCAGAACATCCCTGGGTTCAGTCCCCAGTACTGGGGGTGGGGTGGGGTCGGGGGGGAAGCACTATGCTGTAATGGTGTGATATTCCCCCAAGTCTCCCCCATGGTGCCTGCCTCAACTCCCTCCTGACGGCAAGCCACAGAGACCAGCATTTCTCTTTTCCAGGATGGGTCATAAAAACACAGGTAATTGGCATTTGAAAGATAGAGGACTGTCTTGCTGAGCCCTCAACCTCTGGGATCTGACCCTATCTCCAGGTAGACAGTGCTGAACTGAATTAGAGGATACCCAGTTGGTATCTTTTGCAGAACTGATGGCTTCCATTGCTGGTGGGGAGAAATTCCCATGTCTTTTGAGGCCACAGAAGTTTTCTTCTTTTGTGAACGTGTAGTAGGAGAAAGTGAGTTTGTGTTGGTTTTTCTTCTATATCCACTGCATCGTCCTCTAAATGGAATACCTGCAGCTATGGGAAGGAGATTTCAATGTATGAACCTTTTTAATGGAAGTATCATTTTGGAGTCATGTGAATGTTTACCTATTAAAACAGCCACAAAGCAAACCTAAACCTCACATTGAAGATGATGAAAATAATTCACTGAGCATACAAATTACTAGCTAGCCGTGATGGCACATGCCTGTAATCCCAGCTACTGCTAAAGCAGGAGAATAGGAAGTTCAAAGCTGGCCTGGACAACTTAGGGAGGTCTTTTATCAAATAAAAATAAGAAAAGGCTGTGGATGTAGCCCAGTGGTAGAGTGGTCCTTGGTTCAATCTCCAGTACCACAAAACCAAAACCCAAACCAAAACCCCCAAGCCTCCCTTCCCTGTAGTCCAGTGAGGCCCTGCACTGAGCCTTCTTGCCAGCAGATGGCACTTGAAGCCTACAAACTAAGCCACTCTGCTTCCTTCCCTTTGAGTTGCTGGGGCGCAGACCCCCACAGGCATGGGCTGCCCTAAGGCTAGCAGGAGTGCTGGAGCCCTGGGACCTGGCTTCGGGCTCCCAGCAATCTTCCTTGTCTGGAACTCTAGGTACTGGCTGGATCTCTCCTTTTTCATAAGCGTCCAAAATAATTCCAGAACCTATTCTCCAACCAGAGCTAAAACCAGGCAGGGCACCAAAAGCCATTAAGATAATCATTTTATAAGATCTCACACATTCTTAAGATTCCCTTTCCTTAGTAACAAACTGCATGTTCTCCCTCCTGGTCTTGGTGGATACTGAGCCCAAGGTTGAGGAAACCTGGGTCCTCACTGAGTTGCTTCCTTCCCAGAAGCCTTCCAGAGAGAACTGGACTGAGTTGTGTCTTATAGAGAAGTGAACAGCAGCTTCAGCCCAAGTCGAGGATGGCTGTTGCGGAGAGGCGTTTGAGGCACTGCTAATGTCATTTATCTAAGAGTTATTTTGGTCTGAACTTTGTGGGTGTCAGTCTCACAAAAATGACCTAGAACCAAGCAGGGCTTCTTAAGGAGGGGACAGTTTGAGCTAAGTCTTGAAGGAGGGGAGAAGGTTATTTTAAGTAAGTCTAAGAAACAATTTGAATAAGAAGCACAAAATCAGCTTTATGTGTCGTCAAATGCTCCCTAGCTTGCCACATGCTACCTCGCCCGCCCATGGGCCGCCATGGAGGACTCTGACTTCTGGGTACTTAGCTTGTACTTTTCCCTGCTTTTAGTTGTTTTTTTTTTTTTTTGTTTGTTTGTTTAGTTTTGGTTCTGGGGATTGAACCTAGGGCATTTTATCCGTGAGCTACATCCCCAGCCTTTCTTATTTTTTGAGATACGGTCTTATTGAGTTGCTGGGATTACAGGTGTGGACCACCACACCTAGATCTTCTGCACATTTAACCTCTGTGTGGTTGTCACCTCTTCCTGGATACCACATCTCTTCCTCAGGCAATCTTAGGAGCTGAAGGATTCAGCTGGAATTGCATGACCGAATAGGTGCCCTTGATCCTGGGTTTTAAGATGTTGCAGGTGGAATCCTTACTTTACCTGCCAGGCTCTGGCTTTAAGCTTCAGAGCACTCAGACCAAGCAACAGATCTTTCTTTGTGGGGAATGAGTGTCCCATGGAAGCTGTAAATGGGACAGCTTCAGGCTGGAGGAGGGAGGATGGGGGAGAGTAATTTCGAGATTCTGAGGTCATTTTAAGAAATGCTTATATTTCACTGATGCCTCAGGCCCAGGGCAATGAGCAAGGCAAGGCTTACATGTGGACACCAGGGACAGCCCATGAGAGGAGAGGGCGGAAGATAGATGAGGTAGGACAGCAGCAGGCTCCTTGGAGAAAGAATCTAATCTCCCAGAAAGGATGTTAGAAATGAGGCTGCTAAATTGTTTTGGGCGAAGTGCTGGGCCTGAGAATTCCTTGTGGAGTCATAGGTACAGATGGAAGCCTCTGCTCTGCCCTGGCTGGTGGGCACTCCTACCTGCACTCAGAGCCAGAGCACGCGGCTTCCGGTGTGGTGATTCTATTGGATCGGCCATGCAGGAAGCACGACTGAGGGGCTGTGAGAATTCTGGAGCAGAGGCTTTCAGACTGGGAAGGAACCTTACAGCACATTTAGCTTAACCTACCTATCATTTAACAGATGAGGGAACAGATGGGAGATGATCTGCTCAACACCACACGGAGTGGCAGAGTTGGGTTCATCACACAACACTGGTTGCTATGGATCTTAAAATGTAGGTCCACCATATCAGATGACTCCTCACATGTTCCACAGCCTCTCTTAGTTTTTTATCATGGAGGATGAATAATCAAAGGCCGTGGCTTAAAATGAAAAGTAGTCAAACTGGCTGGGACAGTGTTATCACAAACTCCAAACATCCTCATTTTTCGTCTGTGCCTCAAGTTGCCTTAAATCAGACTCTGGTAGGAAGAAAGCAGGTCTGCTACTAGTGAAACCCAGTGGAAATGTAAAGGAAAAGGGCCCAGAAGATCCTAAAATAAAGGAGACAGCAGACATTGGGGATGGTTATTGCAAACTGTTATAATTAAGGTGATATTTTATGAGTGTTAAAGACAGAGGGGCAGACAGGCTCTGCAGCAGGCCCTGGTTTTGGAGGCCCATTCTGGAGAGGAGATGGCACTTGCAGAGAACAGAACTCAATCACTGCTGTTGATGAAGCACAGAGTCACAGTAGAGGCATCTTAGGGATCCTGAGAGGAAAAGGAGGAGTGGAGAGTGTCATGAGCAATTACTTTAAATTCCGAATCCTTCTGTGCTGCCACTGAGCACATGGACTTCCTGGACAGGCCTCAGTGTCACACAGTGTCTGATACAGATCCTTCCTTTGGCCCAGGCTACCCACCAGCTCAGGATGCCCAGGTTGTCTTCATAAGCATTCATCACAAACTTCCTTTTGCCTCCCAGAGATTTTCCTAACTTGCGTCTCCACCCCCCGCAATTTTTTTTAGTTGTTGATGGATCTTTATTTGTCTTTATGCGGTGCTAAGAAATGAACTCAGTGCCTCACACATGCTAGGCCAGTGGTCTCCCACTGAGCTATGACCCCAGCCCCTAACTTGCATCTTAAAAGTACCAACAGGAGGAAGAACTGGGAATGTTCTCGTTAATATAAACCCACAGCAAAAATGATTAAGAGCTGGATGCTTCCCAGGGCTGGCAGGTGTGTGGATGGTTCCCTGCATTCTTAATCTGTAGGGTGCTTGGATGGATGCTGTTGGAGAAGCCAAGGTCTGACCTTTTAAGACTTGTTCATGTTTTTGAGAATGGACAGGAATAATCACTGGGAATACTCAGAGCCTAGCAGAACACTGGGACAGGGGAGGGTGAGGAGAGGAAGTTGGCCGCATCCTGAGGTCACTTGCAGGAGGAAGGGAGCACTACTCCCAGAAGCAGCAGCACAAAGGGCTATGTTGAGGCTTGGCTTCAGGGGCCTAGGTTGCTTGGGTGCAGAAGGTGGCCCCTCTTGTAGTTCTGGGTTACTACTTGGGCAAAGCAAAGTCCCAGGCAGTTTCCTGTGCACATTTCCACATGGCCTGCATAAGGCGGGTGAAGCCCATGTCCTTGGGCTTCTCTAGGCCTCTCATCAGTCGCTGCTTCATGATGGAAACAAATTCCTTATTGCTCAGCTCACCATTACCTAGAGGAAGAAGCAAATACAACAGTATAAGTGGAGGCCTTGGAACAAAGCCACTGAGAAAATTCCACTGTTCGCACACCATGTGGTTCCAAAGCCCAGTGTGTCTCACAGCCAAATTCAGTTCTCAGGGCTTAGGATGAACTCGTTTGCTCCTTCCTTGATGTTTCCTACTACAATTCAGTGACAGTTCAATGTAGTGTGACAAATTCCAAATGAGAATATAGTATATGCCAGGTAATAAGCTTTGTGCTTTGTCCCCTTGAAATACTCCCAAGTTGTAGAAGAGACATATAAATGTCAACAGTGTGGCAAATGCTCTCATGAAGTAGACAGGACTAAGGGGCACAGAGGAAGCAGTGTGGCTGCTGTAGAACCATAGTAGTAAGGTATTGCTGGACAGAGGTCGGGATGGCAAGTAAACTCAAGAGAAGGCAGGAGACAGGTCCCCAGGTCTTTATTCTTGCCTCTGTCTTTGCTTAGGCTAATTCCCCACCTGGAAAGCTTCCGAATCTCACTTTCCTTACCTGGCCAATTCCTGCTCATCCTTTGTGATTTCACTCAGGGGACAATTCCAGGAAACCTTTACTGATCTGTGTTTGCACTACCCACAGCAGGCCTAGATATTCTTCCTCTGTTTGTCTTTATTCTCAACACCTGGCACAGGACCCGACGTACACCATATTCCATCTTTCTTTCTTGAAATACTGCAGTGCTCCTTATCTACTGTGCAGCAAGTTGGGTCTAATATTTTTGTTTTCATTTGTGTGTGTGTGTGTGTGTGTGTATGTAGGGGTGGGAGTACAGGGAATTGAACCCAGTGTCCTCTACCATTGAACTACATCCCCTGCCCATTTTATTTTTTATTTTGAGATAGGGTCTTGCTAAAGCTGAGGCTGGCCTTGAACTTGCAATCCTTCACAAACGCAAGTAGCTGGGATTACAGGATTATGTCACTGTGCTTGGCTTCATTTTTTTTTTTTTTTTTTTTTTAAAGAAAATTACATTTATTAGGAGTGCAATCCAGGAAAACAGATTCAAGCAATTTTGAAAATGTGCTCCATGTTTAAGATCCTTATGGTCATAAATTGAAGCCTGCAGGCAAACTGGAATTATAGGAAGAAATGGAAAGCACACACCAGGGCCAGGGATTATATTTTTTGATCTGACGACACTGAGGGATGAGCTATGGAAGAGGGATGGATTCACAACGTCCAGAAGGGCACTGCTCCTGACCCCAGTGGGTCCTACTCACCATCACAGTCAAAGAGTGCAAACACCACATCACACACATGGTCTGAGAGTTCCACTTTAGCCACTGTCCTGGCCACTTGTTGCATGGTCACTGAAAGAGGAAAGATGCAAAATCAGCACAGCAGAGGGCCTTCCATTTTGCTTTCTCAAACTGCTCAAAAATTTTTGACTGTATTTAAGTCACATTTAAGGAAATGAAAATTTAGCTTTTAACCTATAACTCCCTTTCCTTTTCACCTCAGGTTCTATTCTTTTCTCCTGTGCTACACTTTAGGAGGTCTATGTAGTTAGTTAAGAATGCCTGATATTAAATTCATAGAGACAGAAGGTAGATTACCAGGGGCCAAGGAGCTTGGAGGGTTAAACTGTGCTTGATGGAAATGTTTTGGAAATAGTGGTGACAGTTGCATGACACTGTGAATATGATTAATGCCATTGTCTTGTATTTTAAAATGCTATTAAATACATCACTTTAAACAATAACTTTAAAAAAAGTGAAAATTCACATAATATTTAAAGATGGGATTCTAACAGCCTAAAGCAAGCCATGGCAACTTTTCTAATAAATTATCATCAGAAGAGTTTCTCAAAGCCACACCTGATATTGTATTAGTCTCCTTGCATTTCCCACCTAGCAATTTTTAAAAAATTGGAAAAAACATGACAGCAAGAAATCAAGTAAATAACCAGGCAGCAAGAGGAAGGGGAGGCGAGAACAAGGAGGCTGATCTGCCGTGTGAGCTTCATGCTTCGGTTACTGACAGACAGCAGAGTGAGCTCCTTGCCCTGCTAGGTCCTTCTTCCCTACTGGTTCTGCATCAGTCACTGTCGTCTTCCAACAGTGCCCCTTGGGAGAAGCTGTAGCCCTGTCTCACTGAATCAGTATTCAGCTTAAAAAAATATAAACAAACACACTTTTTTTTTTTTGGCTTGGGTAGAAAATCTCTTTTAGCTTTCTATTTTTTCTTGCTCGGACATTTACTGTTAAATACTAGCAATCACATAAGAATGGGGTTCTCATGAAACACAAGCCTGGAAGGACCAGGAAGTTTCCAGTCTTCTTTCTCAGTTATTCTCAAATTTGGTCTATCTACACCTACAAATTATGCTCTTGCTTACAGACCCACTCCTTGGCTTTTTCCCCTTCCTGCAGTGCTGGGGATGGAATCCAGGGCTTCGCACATGCCAGGCAATCTCTCTACTACTGAGCTACACCCCTAGTCTTACAGACATACTCTTTAAAAAAAAATTTTTTTTTTTTTTTTAGTTGTAGATGAACACAATACCTTTATTTTATTTATATATTCTTATGTGGTGCCAAGCATTGAACCCAGTGCCTCAATGTGCCAGGCAAGTGCTCTATCACTGAGCTACAACCTCAGCCCCCTAGACATTCTCTTAAGTGAAGTAATACATGCTGGAAAGAAAAGAATTGATTTCTATTTATGAATCAACTAGCAATGAAGTGTTCTCTATAAGCATCAGATTAGATTAATCCAGAAGCAATATGAATTTAAACAAGCTCAGTGTGCCTTCTTTGCTTATTTCCTTCCTATAATTTAGTTCCCGTTACCATCCTGTGATGCCTTTTATTTCTCACTTCACATTCATCACCTCCATGCATTCACCACAGTGCCCCCAGGGTCAGCACAGCAGTGGGAAGGAGCAAGGTTTGGTTCCATTGTCACCTTGCTATATGACCCTGGTGGAGTCATTTGATCTCTTAAGACTTCATTTTCTTATATTCAAATAAGGGATGCCACAAGATAACTTATGAGGTGGGTTAATAGTGCAGAGAATAGTTTACTGGTGTTTTCTGGAGTGAGGGTGTGATGGAGGTGCCCAGAAAGAGCTGAATCTTGAATTGGTAAATGGTAGAGAAAAGGAGACTAGGCTGTTCAGGAGGACAGGAGGAGCTTGTTTCCTCTTTCTGTAGCTTTGGGTTCTCCATTTCTCTGAAGATGCAAGTTAAAGTGAGGGAGGAATCAATAGCCCTGGAACTAAAAGACTTAGGTGGAAGAGACTGTGGTGGATTTTCATGAGATGCATCCTGGGGAATCAACAAGACCACAGAGTTCTAAGGGTTAGAAATTTAGCTCTGCAATTTTAGATACTTGATTTGGCTCAGGAAGAACTGATTCTTGCTAACTACACTGCCCAGAGAAGAGACTAGCAATTTTTAAAAGAATTAAAATGGTGACAGCTGGTCATTATACTTCTCAGTAGAAAAATTTATTAAGGAAACTCAGTTCACCTCAGAAGACTGCTCAGTGATTTCAAACTGTGATTACCTACTGAATCCCCCTCCACTGCCACAGAAGAGTGCCCTGAGGAGGGGGGATCTGTGCTTTTTGTTAACCATTTCTCTTTCTGCATGTCACATCTCACACTTTTTTTCCTTTGGTGGTACTGGAGTTTTAACCCATGGACACTTTCACTGAACTACATCCCCAGCGTTTTTTGAGACAAGGTCTCACTAATGCCCAGGTGGGCCTTGAACTTGTGATCCTCCTGCCTCAACTTCCTGAGGCAATACTGGAATTATAGGTGTGTGCCACCATATCTGGATCAGTCTCACAGGTTTAATAGCTATAACCGACTATCTTCCTTTTCTCCTACTCACTTCTTCACCTCTCTCAGGACAGAGTGCCTGAGGGTGACTGTCTCGACATTGCAAGACTCCTTCCCATAGACATGGAGAGCCTCCCTGTAAATAAGCTATTAAATAATATTCAAGGATATCAGTAAAAGTGCTTGACAGTTTTTAGTGAAAAATTCATTAAACTGGTATTAAGAGGTTGTAGAACAGGGACCTCTGGGGACTGCAGCAAGACCACATCACCAACGACCTGTGTTCACAAAAGAGCTACAGATTATGTTCCATCTCACAAAGAGGGCGCTGGTGTCCTTCGTACTCTAAGAGGAAAAACCAGGGCTGCCAAGTCATTGTGACTCAAACCACAGGGATGGAACTGGCCAGGGAACAGCCCAACTTGGGTGCCCTTTGGCAGTCCAAGATCCTTAGATAGGCCCCTGGGGTGTGAATCAGCAGGAGGAAACCAACTCACTAGCTGGTGAGCTGTCAAACTGGGAGCCCTTGGGACAAGTGGGATGACAGCAGATTACAAGGCAAGGGCTTGACAGCTGGTCCTGAGAATTGGCTCATTCATACTGCTTCCAAAATCTCTGAATCACAAAGCCATAATTAAATCACAGCAAGCAGAACAATCCCTTCCTCAGATCTCAACTTCCTTGTGCAGACCAGTTGTAGGGTCCTGGAATTTTGGCCTTCCCTGTTGGTAACTGTGATACTGTGAAATATATATCTGGTATTCTTCCCTATTTCCTGACATAAAACTGAAAATTCTTGGACTCTCCAAAGTGGTCTATCTTTTTGTATGGTAATGAGATGACTGGGGGCTGGAAGCCCCTATGTGGCTTCAGCATGGTACAGTTGGTCACAGGAAAGATCAAGGCCCAATTAGGAGGTTGGGACTTTTCCACTCCGCTCTCCAACCTCTGGGGAGGAAAGAGGGCTGAAAGCTGAGTTGATCACCAATGGCCAACTACTCAATCAATCATGCTGATGTAATGAAGTTAAAAATCACCAAAGCATAAGGTTCAGAGTATTCAAATTGTTGAATGTGGAAAGGTTCATGGAGGGTGGTGCCCCTAGAAAAGCCATGACAGCTCTATGCTCCTTCTCCCAAACCTCTCTTGTACATCTCTTCACCTGTATAGTTTGAAATGTCCTTTATAATAAAGTAGTAAACACATTTCCCTGAGTCCCGTGAGATGTTCTTGCAAATTAACCCTAAGGAGATGGACACGAGAACTCATTCATATCTGGTCAGTCAGGAGCACTGGTCAAACAATCTGGGGCTTGCAACTGACATCTGAAAGCAGGGGACAGTCCTGGAAGTCTGAGCTCTCAACCTGTGGCATCTGATGCTATCTCCAGATGTGCAGCATCAGGATTAAACTGAATTAGAGGAAACCCTGATGCTTTCTGCTACAAAATGGATTGTTTACTTTCTGGTGGGGAGAAATCCACACATTCTGAGATCATAGGAGCCTTCTGCATTGCTCACTGTAGTGTGAGAGCAGAGGAAACACTGTTCTTCCTACAGAGTTGAGGCCAACTGATTGATGGTTGAAATTCCAGTTCGTAATCTGAAAGATGTCCACATGGAGAATGAAGGCACCATGAAAAAAAGACATCCTAGGTTTCCAAAGACTATGTATTCCTTTTGTACAAATCTGCCCAGGTGCCCTACAAGAGGCATGACATGAGATTTGGTGATTTCTATTAGATTGGGGTTGAGCAATGGGTTTGTAGAAGCAGGCTCATTTGGCACTCAAAAATCTGGGACCATTTGATTTTTTCTTTTTGGTACTGGGGATTGAACCCAGAGGTGCTTAACCACTGAGCCACATCCCCAGCCCTTTTAAAATATTTTATATCAAGACAGGGGTTTACTGTTTCTTAGGGCCTTGCTAAGATGCTAAGGCTGGCTTTGAACTCTCAATCCTCTTGCCTCAGCCTCCTGAGCCATTGAGATTACAGGTGTGCAGCACTGCGCCCAATAATGGCTGGCCGGCTGGCCTGCCTTCCTTCTTTCCTTCCTTCCTTGCTACCTCCCTCCCTCCCTTCCTTGGTACTGGGGAGTGAATTATGGAGTGAGTGTTCTACCCCTAAGCTACATTGCCAGTCTTTTTATTTTTCACTCTGAGCCAGGGTCTCAGTAAGTTGCCCAGGCTGGTCTTAGACTTGTGATTTGATCTTTCTTCTGTCTCAGCCTCCTGAGTAGTTGGGATTGTAAGAATGGACACTGTGCCTAGCACCACCTGTATTTTTGAAAAGCTCATGCGGAATCTGAGTTGTGCCAGGTCCTCAATTTACTCTCTGGTATGGTTCATGACTGTATAAACAACAGAAAGAAAGCCATGCTGGTTTGTGTGATATATCAGAAACTATATTACATAAAACTCATCACCACAATAGTTGAGCAAGTGAGTTCTGGAGTGACAGGAGACCAAATGGCCACTTAGAATCAGATAATCTTAGAAGCAAAGAGAACCCAGAGAAAT